TGCCCCACCCTGGCGGTCTGAGCCAGACGCCGGGCACCCCCCAGGATGCCAGCTTGTTCTGGCAAGGGGAGGCGCCTGGTGGCCTCGGAAATAGATCTCGGAGGGGGAGGACAAGGGGCGGGAAGCCCCCTTTGCCCGGCTGTGTTGGATCCAGGGCTTTTGCCTAGCAAAGCTGCATTTGAACACAGGGCTCTTGGCCGCAGGACCGGTCATCGGAGATGCCCTGGCCGGTCCTCTCCTTGAGCCTGGCCACCTGCCGGCTCTTCTCGTTGGCCTGGGAGGGTGTGAGGAAGCCGCAGGGTCTGCAGGGGTTCCGCAGAGGGACTGAGAAGGAACATCGGGAGATACAGGGAGACACAAGGCTGGCATTCCCACTCCCTGGGGTGCCCCACAGGGGGGCTCTTTGTGTGGAAATGCCCGCAAATCCCTGGGAAGCTGCCCTCCGCCTAGCTGGGCAGGTCAGCAGCAACCCGCAGCTTTGCCAGGCGTGAACTGGCACAATCGGTTGTGCAAGGGGGTGGGGGGTAGAAGCAACGTGGCAGCAAAAGCTCATTTCTTTTTAAAAGCCCCCCCCCCCGTGGGGTCTGGGTGCAAAGCCCGAGGACCCTTGGCTTGGCCCCCTCCTCCCAGGTCTTGGAAGAGGAGACCTCCAGGGTCCCTTCCAGTGTTCTGTTATCCCTGGGCTTCCCGGGGGGGGGGCTGTTTGGAAGCCTGGCGCCTGCTGCAAATACCCCCCCCCCGCTCACTGACTGACACAGGTGGGGGCCGCGGCCTGAGGCTGCTGGTGCGAGAGAGATGCAGCCCCAGAGCCAGGCCACGGCCTTCCTGGGTTGGGCCACAAAGGGAGCAGGCTGTGCTCCCCTCTCTTGGGAGCCCCCTCCTCAGCAAAGAGACTGGCCAAGGGGCCCGTTGGGCCTGAGCAGGCCGATAGCTGTGCCTCAGGGGTTGAGAGGCGGCCTCCGGAGGCAGTTGGGGAAGGGGGCTCCTCTCGTGGAAAGTGACATCCGAATGAAGCCCCCTCTGGCAGCCGCCCCCCCCCCTTTGCAGGCCCTCCGTCCAGCGGGAGGGGCCCCTGGCTTCACCTGCTGAGTCTTCCTGGGGGACAAGGAGGAGAAGCCCCTCCCTGATGAAGCCCACTCCCACAGCACCAGGGAGAGCCGGGCAAGGGGGCTTCCTTCCAGTAGCCACAGGTGGGAGCGGGCTGGTCCTCAGCCTGCTGCTGGGGAAGTCTCTCCAGGGGTTGTGGGGGGCCAGAACCAAAAGTGGGGGCCGCTCTGGAAAGAGCACCCCCGTTTCTGCCTCTGCTGGCTTGTGGCACCCACTTTGTTCAGCAATTCTGTACCAAGGCTGTAATTAGATTGGAAAGAGCCGCCACGCGTGCACACACACACACACACACACCCTGTGAGAAGATGCCGGACTGTCTCTCTCGGTCGCCTCCTTTTATGCTTCTATTCAGCATCAGTCAGGGAGATGTTTTCCAGCAGCCGTTAAAAAATAGATTAATTTAAGTATTAAACGAGCTGGCACCAGTAGCTGGGTTAAGCCTTCAAGTTTCGACTTGATTGCCCCCGGGCGGCAAAACTCTGCTGCCGTTTGGCGGGGAAGGTGAAGGTAGACCTTGCTGTGCCCTGGAGGCTCCCCGCCTAGGGAACCTCTCCCAGGAGGCTGTAGCGCCAGGCCGAAGGACGAGCCCTCCGCAAGCCGGGCCAGAGCCAGCCAAAGCGGTTGCGACTGAGCTGGAAGCAGACTTTTTTTGGGGTGGGCGAGGGTCCCCCAAAGTCAAGCCAGAAGGAAGAATCTTCGGGATGTGCAAAGGGGGGTCCGGGCTGCTTCTGCACTTGCTTTGAGTGGGAAGGGCTGGAAGGAGCAGCCAGTTGGCAGCAAAGGCCCCCCCCCGCTGCATTCCCACAAGGTGGTTTCTGTCCGGTTGCCTTTTAAAAAAGCATCTTTGAAGTCCCCATTAAATCGTTTCCCATGTGTGGGTCACATACCAAGCGTGTGGGGGGGGGAGGCAGGCCCTCCATCCTTGGGGCTGGGGTGCTCCCTCCTGGCTTCTCCTTTGGCCCCTGTGCTGCCCTCCTGTTTGCCAGCTTTGGATGAAGCGAGCATGGCAGGAATCTGCCCCCCCATCCCCCTCCAAAGGCCACAGAGACCCCCTTCTCTCTCCCCCCAGGAAGCAGTACCCGGCTTCTCTCAAGGAGCTCCCCCCCCCAGGTAGGTGAGGGATTACATAGAGCAGGGGTCTCCAACCTTGTCACTTTAAGACTTGTGGACTTCAACTCCCAGAATTCCCCAGCCAGCTTTGCTGGGAGTTGAAGTCCACAAGTCTTAAAGTGACAAGGTTGGAGACCTGTGTCATACAGCCTATTCTGGGCTGAGCTTGGCTTAGAGCCAGTGATTCTCAACCTTTCTAATGCCGTGACCCCATAATACAGTTCCCCATGTTGTAGTGACCCCCAAGTGGGTGTGGCCACCAATAAGAGGGAGTAGGACAGCTAGGGAAAAGGGAAAAAAATGGCGGACAGCATGGTTTGGTGACCCCCGTGAAATGGTCATTGGCCCCCAAATGGGGTCCCGACCCACAGGTTGAGAACCATTGGCTTAGACTGAGAGGCACCCTCGGGGTTGGGGTACCTCGCTGGCTCCAGCGCCCTCCCTGCTGGTGGAGATGATCAGTCAGCTCTGCCGTGAGGGGGGCCTAGAGGCTGCAGGTGATTCGGCTGAGGAACGGGGTGGTGCCTTGAGGAAGGCACTGGTCCCACGGGGGGGGGGGGCAGGAACAGGGGGATTCTGCAGCCAGCCAGAAGAGAAGAGTCGGTGGGCAGCTCTGGATTGGGGGCGACCCCCATTCTGCCGGGAGAGTGAAGCTTGCTGGGAGACGGGGGGGGGCTGTCCCCAGTTTGCTGCTTGGAATCTCTGCCCTTTTGCGCCCCCACCCCTTTCCGGGGCAGCCGTGAGTCCTTGGAGAGGCCAAAGCGGAGTCTCTTCCTGGAAGGGCACCCCAGCAGGAAGAGAGGGCGGCGGGGGGGGGGCTGCTTTGCCAAATGGAAGCGGAGCCGGGAAGGCGCCTGGACGCCTCGCCTCTGCCGCAGGGCTGCCCATCTGACTGGCCCCGGGAGCTTTTGCCAGGCCGCCCCTGCGAGTCTGCGGCCTCTGAGTGGGCGGGAGGGTCGGGCAGAACGGGCTCCGTGAGGCCACTCAATGTGCCCGATCGGAGCTGCTGGGGCCCCGGCTCCGGCCGCGCGTCTGAAGCGGCTGCCGGCGCCGTAGCCGTGGGAAAGGCTCCGCGGAGGGAGCAGCTGCCGGCGCTGCGTCTCTGCCCGTCTGCGCGGAGGCCTCGCCAGGCGCGCACGTGCCCGGGGGCCAGGTTGGAAGTCGGCCCGGTGAGAGCAGCCGCTCGACGTGCTCGCTGGCGTCGGCCGGCTTGTGGGAAAGCAGCGTCGGGGGCTGTGGCAGCGTTTTCCGGAAGGGCCTGGGAGGGAGTCCGGAGCTCCGGGGGTTGCAAGGAGCCGCTTCCCCCGCTGCTGAATCCACCCGGCTGCGGCTCCCGGGCGGGGGGCGTGAGGAGCTCCCGGGAGCGGCTCTCCCATTTACGGCCTCTGCGGTGCCAAGTCAGGCCGAAGGAGCGCCGGATCTGCAGCCGAGGCGGAGGTGGAGGGGCAGCGATCACCTGGAGGGCAGCGTGGAAGCTCGGGAGCAGCTGGACAAGCTAGAACAAGGGGCAGAAAGGAGGGGGGGGGAGGAATCTGGGTGAATCACAAGCTGCACCGGAGCCTGGGGTGCCAGGCTACTTCAGAAGTCGGTGCCATCCTGGGCGGCGTCCGCAGATGCCCAGGGTTAGCGTTCCCCTCTGCTCTTCATTGGGCCCCGGGGGGCTTTAACCCCTTCAGAGCACCGTGTGATAGGAAGGACCTTGCAAAACTGGACGAGGGGGGGCGGAGGAGAGCAAGCAAGGCCATCGGAGGCTGGAAGGAAAGGCCTCGGTGGAGGATTTGGCGGCCATCGCTGCGTTCAACTAATTCAAGGGTTGCCAGTACCCCCCCTCCCCGCAACACAACAGGTTTACTTCCAAGTTCCTTCCAATAGTTTTTTTTTTAGCCCTTTTAGGAATTCCAGCCTTTCTTGCAATCACGTTGAATGGGTGTGGCATTTCCCAGCTGCCAATCATTCCAGGCGCCTCCTACCGGATCAGGAGGAGAGTGGGGAGGGGGCGCCTTCTGTGGGGCTGGGCTGCTTCAAGGACAGCCCCCCCACCAGTCCCTGTGACCGTGAGGGGATCTAGAAGCCGCCCCAGATCTCTGCTCAGCAGGACTCTGGACGAAGCCAAGAGATCAATCCAGCCACAAGGGTGCAGAGCAAAGAGTGCCCCTCTGCCCTCCCCCCCCCGTCTCTAGCTGGGGTTCCCAAAGGGGACCTGGGCACTTGGAAGGGGGTCAGTGCTTCAGAGTCCCCCGAATCTGGGCAGCCCTGCCACTCAGTTGCAAGCCTTTTTGGGAAGTGGGGTTGTTTCATTTACACTTTACGAATCTACAGTATGCCTAAAAATAACAAAAAGTTGGAAGGGACCTTGGAGGTCTTCTAGCCCAACCCCCCTGCTTAAGGAGGAGACCCCATACCATTCCAGACAAGTGGCTGTCCAGTCTCTCTGTGAAAGTCTCCAGAGATGGAGCAGCCACAACTTCTGGAGGCAAAGTCCGTTCCACTGATCAGTTGTTCTCAAAGTCAGGAATATTCTTAGTTCCAGGTTGCTTCTCTCCTGCCTTCAGGTGCTTTGGAGAATAGGTTGACCCCTTTTTCTTTGGGGCAGCCCCTCAGATACTGGAAGACTGCTGTCATGACCCCCCAGTCCTTCTTTTCTCTAGACCGGCCATTCCCAAATCCTGCAACTGTTCATCATTTCAGCCTCCAGTCCCCTAATCATCTTTGCCGCTCTTCTCCACACTCTTTCCAAAGTCTCAGTGTCTTTTTTACATTGTGGTGACCAAAACCGGATGCAGACTCTCAGGACTCAAAACTTTTTAAGAACATTCTTGGAACTAAAATTATGTTCAAGAATTCTCTTAGTGAAAAAGTTATGCTAAGGATAATTTAAGACAATGTAACTTGGAAACACAAGTATTGCTCAAAAATGCCTATACTGGAGCAAGGCAGCCAGCTGAGCATTGAAAGATTCAGCTGGGTTCCTAAAACAAACATCTGGAAGCGACTGGTGTGCATGGCCCACCCATGGCCGAGCAGGTTAAGGTCATATGCTGAGCTCTGTGTGTGTGGGGGGGAGTGTCCTCCTCCCTCCAGTCAAGAGCCGGGAATGCCAAGTCTCAGCCCACTTTTTCTATGGGGCATCTCTGCTGCTTTTCAGAATCAGGAACACTCCATTCATTTGCTACCTTGCCAAACATTACCTTTATTGAAAAATATCTCCGATTGTTTAAAATGCTGTTAAAACCACCCGGGACCCCCATCGGCCTCCTTCCGTGACTGGGGCTGCTGGCCTTGGGGAGGGGGGGCATTGCTGGGGTTCCGGGCCAGGTCACACTGCAGGCTGGCAATGGCCACTGTGGGCCTCAGGCATCCTCTGGGCTTGGCCCCCCCTCGGCTTCCTTCTCCTTGCCTTTGGCCGCCGCTGCCACCTTCTTTCCGGCCTTGGGGGCCTTGGCCTTGGGGGCCCTGGCCTTGGGGGCCTCAGCCTGGCTCTTGGCTTGGCCCCCCTTTGCCTCCTTGACTCCCTCACCCTTGGGGGGCTCAGCCTCGCCTTCCGCTCCAGCCTTGGGACGGCCTCTGCCCTTGGTGGCTGTCTTGGCTTCTCCCTTGGGGGGGGCTTTGGAGGGGGGCTTTGCCAGTTTGACCTGGAGGGTCTTGGGGGCCCTCGGCTTCTTGGGAGCCTTTCCCTCGGTGGCCGTCTTCTCCCTCGGCTTCCGCTTCACCGGGTCTGCAGCCAGGGCCTGCGGGGAGACGGACGGCTCAGCCTTGTACAGGGCTGGGGGGCAACCCTGGCCCTCTTGCTCTGGGGCAGCTCACCGAGGGTAGACACGACCCCCCCTCAAAGGGTCTTTGTGATGGGCAAGGGAGATGCCCCGAGTCAGACTGCCACGTGGGCTTTGGCCAGGGGGCAGAGCCCAGAGGGGGCCACTGGCACAGCTGGGAGGGGGCTGCAACCCTCAGACTTCAGGGGAGTTGCCCCCTCCTGCCCAGAGGCAGACCACCCTCCCAAGGGCGATGAGGGAAGGGCTGAGCTCCCCACTCGGCTTGGGGCCCGGGTATGGGGCTGCCCTCCTGAAGGGCCCGGGAGGACCTACCGGGTCAGATTCAGCCTTGGCTTTCTTGCTGGCGGCGTTCTCCTTGCCCTCGGCATCCGCTGGAAGGGTGGGGGAGAACCTGGATGAGGGCCTTCTCCCCTGGGCAGAAGCCGCAGCCGGGCCCTCGCAGGGCGGACAGCTGGCCCCGAGTCTCTCAGCTGCCCCCTTGCCAGACCCATCAGTGCAGCTCCTGGCAGTGGCAACAGGGACCCCCCCCTTTGGCCAGTCCCCTCTCTGAGGCTGCCGGTGGAGGAGAAGGGGACCCCTTACCCTTCCCTTTGGGGTTCTCGGCCCTCGCCTTGCCCTCCGCTGCTGCCTTCTTCTTCTCCGGTTTTGGGGCAGGGTCTTCCCCCTGGGCAGGCTGGACCCTCTTGGGCTTTACCTTCTTGGGCTTTACGGCCGCCAACTGCAAAATCGGGGCAATGGAGAATTTCAAGGGGGGCACTCAGGTGCACCAATGCTGCCCCCCCCGCCTGCCTCTCCAAAGCCTTTGCAGTTGCAGGCTGGACTCTGCCAGGCCCAAGGCAGGAGACGCTGGCGTGCTGCTGCAGGGCGGAGATGCCCTCGGCTGTGGCACTGGGTGGGCCTGGCAAGGCCAGGCATTTCTCGCTGTTCATTAGCCAACCGGGAAGGGAGTGGGAGAAGGCTCCCTCTAGGAGGCCAAGGGGGCATCCAGGCACGGGGGACGAGGGCTACGAGAAGGGCTCGGAGCCCCCTGGGCCTTGGGCAGAGACGCCCCCCCCACCCCCCTGCAGGTGGCAAGCAGCATGTGAGCAGAGCCCTTTGGCTCCGGGTCCAGGGCGCCCCCCCACCTTGAATCTGCCGGTGGCCCCCTGGGCGGAGGAGTTGAGGGGCCGCACCAGGTAGCCCTTCTCCAGCCCCTTGAGCAGCGCCTTCCGCAGGTAGTACTTGAGCCGGATCGGGTCCACGCCGGGGTAGTTGTGGCGGATGTAGCGCTTGATGGCCGCGGTGGAGGAGCCCTTCCGCTCGTTGAGCACCCCGACGGCCTCGGTGACCATGGTCAGCGTGGGCGGGTAGCGGCACTTGGAGGAGCGGGCTGTCCCCGAGGCCTCTGCGGGGGCAGAGAAAGAGAGCCTGCTGGGGGGAGGCGGGGAGCGGACTCCAGCTCCCGTGGGGCTGAGCGGGGGAGGGCGCGCCCCGCTCGTCCGGCAGCCTCTTACCTGCCGGAGCCGCCATCCCGCTCGGCCGACGCTCTCCGCGGGAGGAGCCGCACCTGGGCCCGCTTTATGGGGGGGAGGAGGAGGAGGAAGGCGCCCGCGGCTCCCCTGCCGGCCTGCAGGCGATTGGGCGGCCGGAGGGCTGCAGGTGGCGGCCCGAAAGCCGCTAACAAGCGCCCGGCCTACCTGCCCTCCAACGGGCGAGGCGTTCGGGCCAGATACTTGCAAGGACGGCGCGCGGGGTGGGGTGGGGTGGGGTGCGCAAAGGAGCAAGCAACCGAGGATACCCCCCCCCCACACACACACACCGGCAATGGCGCAGGCAGCGGCGTGCCTGTGGTGGGACCCAGGCCCGGAGGGCGGCGGCAGCGGCCCCTCGATCCCTGCGTTCTTGGGGGGGGGGGCTGGAGGGGGGCTTCTCAGGGGGTCCCTCCTTTCTCTGCCCTTCCCTCCCCAGAGCTTCCGAGCCTGCCTTGCTTTGGAACCCCCCCTTTCCCCTCGCAGCCCCGCCCAGAAGGGACGGAAGACCCTCGCTCGGGCCGCCCCGGGAGGAAGTGGGTGTCAGCCGGGAGCCCGACGGTTCGCCCGTGTTTTTAACTCTGACCCCCGAAGCAGCCCCTCCAGGGCTTTTCCGGGCGAGGAGCCAGCTTCCCCTCCCCCCCCCGCGGGCTCCGATCCTGCAGACAATCACAGATTCTCTTTGGGGGGGGGAGCGCCACCCAGGTGCCTGGGAATACCTCTCAGTCCCATTTACCCTTTGGTTTCTTCAGATAGACTGCCTCTGCCTGAGCAGGTTCCTCATCTCCACCTGGTGAAGATCTGTGGCCCTGATGCAGCTGCACCCACGGAGGCCCAGGAAGGAGATGGTGGGCCCCTAGAAAGCCGGTCTGGGGTCTTTGGGGCTTTCCCCCAGTTATGCAGGCAGGTCAAGGTGCAGGGTGTCTCCCCTGCTCAGCTGAACCCCCCCTCGGGGCACCTTGTAGGCAGCCATCTTGAGCCTTGCCTGTCTCCGAAGAGAGGAGGGGCAACTCTGCCCGGTGCCACCCCCGGAGAGGGGCAGAGCAGGGCCAGGGGGCAACTGTCCCCCCTCTCTGGTGTTTCTCTCCCCACATCCAGGCGCTGGTGGAGCCCCCTCGCTGGCAGACGATGTCGGCCTCTAACAACATCGCCCAGGCCAGGAAGCTGGTGGAGCAGCTGCGGATCGAGGCCGGGATGGAGCGGATCAAGGTGGGCCCTGGTGAGGGGGGGGGGAAGCCCAGGAGGAGGTGCCGGCAGGTGCTCTGGTCATTGGGGAGGGGGGCAGATGGAAGGCGACCTCCAGCCCAGGGTCGAGGAGCTGGGGGCTCCTGGTGCTTGGAAGGTGGGGGCAGCCAGGGAAGGAAGACTCTGCAGGCAAAGCAGCGCCTCAGGGGGCACCCAGGGCCCCACGGTGGGGGAGGGTCTCCGGGGCCCCACCGAAGAAGGAGAGCATCTTTCAGCACAGAGGCCTGCATGCTTCAGTTATTCCTTGGCCCAAGAACGCCTCTGCACGTGATCAGAGGCTATGAATTCCCTGCGGCTGTGGCAGCTTCCGGGCCTTAATGCCCCCGAGAAGCCAGCCAAGTTCTGGCTCGGGACGGTTGCGAGGGAGGGGCAGTCCTCGCAGCCCCCACCCAGAGCCCCAGCCTTTGGGAGAGATTCAGAGTGTGTGGGGTGGGGGGTGGCGGAAGCTGCATTTAGCCAGAAACAGGCACCACCGTTACTCCCTATGGGCTGATCTCCCCCCCCCCAGGGCTGAGTCCGGTCCTGGCCCACTTCTCCTGAGGTGAAGAGGGTCCACCAAGGGGGGGGGGCAGCCAGGATTGAAACTAGGACAGCCCTTCAAGAGAAGAGGGTCGGCCCTCACCCCCCCCATCAGAATGACAGGTCCCTCTTTCCGGGGGTGGAGGGGCTCCAGCTGCAGGTTGGAAAATGAATTAGTGGGAGCCTTGGCCCTGGGGGGGGTCTCCCTTCCCTGGGGGGGTTCAGCTTTTGTCCCTTGGGTCCCACCAAGGAGCAGGACCTGCCCCCCTCCCGTGCCTGAGCCCCACAGCACTCTCTTGGGGTCTCTCCCTTTTCCTCCGTTTGGGCTAAAATTGGCTGTGGCCAAGCGGGCAGGGCTGGAAAGGGCCGGTCAAGGCCGGCCAGCCCCCCCCCCCCGGTCATTTCCTGGCTCCCTCGGCTGACATGATTGCTTCCCTCCCCAGGTCTCCAAAGCCTCCCTGGAGCTGCTGAACTACTGCGAGCAGCAGGCCAGGAACGACCCCTTGCTGGTTGGCGTCCCCACCTCGGAGAACCCCTTCAAGGACAAGAAACCCTGCACCCTCCTATAGCGCCCCCCCCCGGGCCAGGCACCCCCAGCCCTGATCTCCAGCCAGGTCAAGGAAGGGGGAGCAGGCCTCACCCTGCCCTCTCGTCTGGTCAGCAGATGGCCAAATTATTGGTGGAGGGGGGGAAGAAGGACACAAGGCCGGGCTTGAGGGGTCGTCCTGGCAGGGACCCCATAGGAAGCTGGTCTGTCCAGTGCTGAGGATGCCCCCCAGGTGGAGACCTGGACGGGGTCAGGCAGGCAAAGTCCACTGGCAGCTGCCCGTCCCACCCTGTTGGGGAGGGGGCTTCCCAAGCAGAAATGCCTTCTCTTTCTCAGGCCCTCGTCTTCTCCTTTGGGGTGCTCTCCGTCATACCCGTCTCTCAAGCACCACCTCCCCAGTGCCCCCCTCCACTTGGGCTCCCCAGGGACATTTGCAGGCAGACCCTCCTCCAGGCCAGGAGGGGGGAGGGGTTCTTTCTGGAGGGCCAGTGACCCAAAGGCCACATTCCTCTGTCCCAAGCAGCCATTTTGCTCAAGAAAGCCACTTGAGGGGCAGGGACCCCCGAGTGCCCCAGGCCCTACTCGTGCCAAAGCCAAAGAGGGGGGGAGGGCTGTGCCCTGGCTCTCCCCAAGAGAGGAACCCATGGCACAAAAGCAGAAACACGAGGACGGAGTCCCCTGGGGAGTCTTGGGGATGCCAGCAGCCTGGATGTGGGAATAGGTGGTGGGGCGGGGGGGGGGGCTGTGCCAGCTTCTTTAGTGGAGAATCTGCTGTCCAGAAGGAGCTCCTCCCTCCCAGGAGTGAGAACTACTCTTCTCCAGATTGGAAGACAGGCTCAGGTCTTGCTTCTGAGGCTGGGGGTAGGATGGGATTGGCAGCCCCCCCCCCCGCCAGGCCAGGGCTGCCAGCAGTTTGGTGCTCTTTTTCCCTCGCCCGGAAGTGGTCGGGGCGGCTCCAGGGACCCCCAGCCAGCAGGGCCTCCATCGGCTCCCAGAAGCCCCCCTGCTCTCCTGGAAGGCTCAGCCATTGGACCTCTGGTGCCAAAGTTACCCCCCCCCGTGGTGCCAAAGCAGCCCCTGGCAGTCACTGCAAAAGGATGTGGGGCATCTGCTCTCGGATGGTAAAGCTGAGAACATTTGGCCTTAAAGTGTCGCTTATACCTAAAGTGTTTTTAAAATTATACATAAAAGTTTGCTACACAAGATTTTAAAAAGGACAGCACACACAGAAAGCCGTGCAAAACTCTAGGCAACAGCAACAACAAAGAGTGTGAAATTTTGTGTGACTTGTTTGTCTTATGCTTAAATCCAGCACAGGGCAGTTTCCCTCCCCCCCAACACACATATACACACACGCGTGCGCCGGGGGTATTCCTCTTGTGCCAAACTTGAGCAGTTTGTTTTTTAATTCACCAAAGTGACAAGTGCATTGATTTAGTTTTTCCAAAAAAGGCTGCTGAGCCTCGTTCTTGTTTGCCAAACTCTCTTCCTGTTGCCAAAAAGGGGGGTGTCTATAAAAGGGGGGAGGGAGAGGCCCGGCCTGAGTGGGCGTGGCTAATTTCCCTTTTGTAAAATCGGTCTCTCTCCCGTGTGCCCCGGACTGACTTCCTTGCTAGTACTGAACGTGCTGTGGGGTTCCTGTTTTAAAAAAGTGAAGCGATCACACAAAGAATAAAACCTCACTTTTGCTGGAAACTCTGCTTTCTCTGAGCTTGGGGGGGGCAGCTCCCCTTTGGCCCCGCTCTGTAATCTCTCCTTGGGGGAGGGGCGCTGGTGGGCCCTTGCCGGGGCCTTTGGGACACAGCCTCCTTCGTGGGGAGGGGGGCGATTTGCCTCTGCAGTGCTACAAAGGATCAGAGTAAACGGGGCGGGGTTCCTTCCGGCACCCACCTGCCTGGCTCCCGGGTTCCTCTGAAGGGCCGCCAAGGCGCCATTCCTGGGGAGGCCCCTGCTCGCAACAGGGGCTCACCCGAGGCAGGAGGAGACACTGCCCCCCGCCACAAAACGCCTCTGCCTGCAGAATTTGGACTCCGCCCCTTGGGCCCGGGAGCAGGAAAGGACGAGGGGCGCCTGGTCGACCCTCAGGCGAGCTCACGGCGGCCGCGTGTCCTAAAGGCCTTCAGGGCAAGGCAAACGGGACATGAATACCAAGGGGGGGGGGGTTTACAATGTTTGGAATCGGCCAACGGGGGGCGGGGGCTGAAGTGCCAAGGCCGGGGGTGCTCTCACTCAGGGGAGGGCCACGGATCAAGGGGAGCGAGGACGGAGGGTGCATAGGCTCCCCCCCCCGCTCCAAAAAGAGCCCGGAGTATATCCCCGCCGCCGGGCCCGGCGCTCTTGCAGCCTTTGCGGCCGCCCACCGGCGGTGCCCTTCACACCCTGCCTGCGGTCTCCGGCCCTCCTCGGCCCGGCTGGAGGCAGTGGGCCGCCGGCTGCCGTTCCCGGCCCCTCCCTGGGCGAGCGGCGGCAGCGCCAGCCAGCCAGCCGGGGCGGCAGCAGCAGGAGTAATTATAGCTCTCGGGGAGCTAAAAATAGCTGCGGAGGAACAAGGCGGGCTATTTATAGCGGCGTCTCTGAACTTTGTCCCGCGGCTTTGCCCGGGGCGGAGCAGGCAGGAGGAGGGACGCCGCCGCCCCCCCCCCCGGCAGCCTCCGGAGCGAGGGAAGGCGAGCGCAGAGGTGCCCAAATGCCTTCGCTCCTGCCCAAGCCGGTCTCGGGCAGCTTTGCGGGCGGGCGGGTGGGTAGGTAGAGGGTGGCGTCGCCACGGAGGCCTCTTCTGCAGCCTCAGCCACTGAGCAAGATGCTCGCCCAGAGGGACAAGCCCTCACAGTCCTTTCTCAAGGCTCGGGGAAACAGACACGTGTCTTCGGAGGCCTTCTGAAGATCCCTTTGGTCGCTGGGAGACGCCCAGACCTCTGTACCTCCATGCTCCACCAGGGGGATAGTCCGGCTTTCGACCTCTGCGCTCCAGCAGAGCAGCAGGGCGGGGTGTAGAAGAGAGCCCCCCCCCCCGCTCTGCTCCCCCTTTCCTTCCAACCTGGCGCTGAGCCACCGATGCTCACCTGGGCCCCGTTCCTCCAAGTGGCCCCCTCCCCAGGGAAGGGAGCAGAGTTCAGCCCGCATCGCCACGCATGGAGTCTCATGACAGCCTCTGGGCTGAAGTTCGGAGTTGCCCCCCCCCCACACACACACCTCTTGCCATTGCTCGCCTGACCTGATCCCTCGCCAGTGGCTGGCACGGTTTCTTCCTTCTGCTGGCCTTTGGCCAAACCGTGTGTTCTTTTCCAAAGGCCTCACGCATCAGCTGCGTAGTAATTCTCCCCAGAGTGTTCCTGCTGTTTAGAAAATTAGAACTAAAAGATGTTTGCCTGCTGCCTATGAAAGGATAAGAGTAGCTGGCAACATTTTGACAAATCCGCCTGGTTTTCTAGGTGCTTCTGAGTCAGGGTCTCCAGGCTCATGTTCTCCTAGATAGGAGTATCAGAATGGGCGGGCCCTCTTTCCTTCTTTTTGAACACACACACACACACACACACACACACACACACACACACACACTTCCTCCCTTGTATCGACCTTCACCAATTTTCCAGGATTTATTTTTTATGATCTGACATGACGTAAGGGTTTGTTTCAACCATTGACAAATTCGCTGGAAATTTAAATTTATTCAGAAGGAAGAGACTTTCCCGAAGATTATTTTTGTCCATCCTTTTGTCCATCCTTCGCACTTTCCAGGTGGTACAAATGGAGAGTTTGCTGAAAAGGCTGAACACAAATAATAATTCTGCCTTTGATTTAATCCCGGTTAACCACCCTACAGTTCCGTTCCAGCCACACAGCAGCCAGAGAGCGACCCACTGGCTGGGCTCGCACAACGCCTGCAGCCCCACCACTCCCAGGCCAGGTATGGGGTGCAAAGCCACAGCGGTGTCTGTGTGCCTCTGGGGATCTCCCTGCATGCCGGGCACAGAACCAGCCCAACCTCTGGCTTCCCTGCCCAACGCCCAGGGCCCTTGCTCAGGAGGCGGGTGCCGGCAAAAGACTCGCCCGGGGGAGGCCCAGAGGACGTGCTGGGCAGCCCTGGGGCCTGGTGTGAAGGAAGCCTCTTGGACTCAGCTGACCCTGCCTTGCCTGGCTGGTCCAGAGCCAGGGGTCCTGGGCAGGCAGCCGGTCCTGGCTTAAGCAAACCCAACGGAGCCAGAGGCCTAGGAATGCAGCTGCCGCGGGGGGGGCACTGCAGGCTCCCTCCCTCCTCCGGATCCCCTGCTGAGCCAGGATGCAGGCGGCAGACTGTGGCTTCCATGGGTCTCTCCGAGCGGCTGCGGCCTCTTCTCTCTGCCTCCTTCAGCAGCGGAGGGCAGGGCAGGATGGGCTAGGGTGGGGTGCCAGGGGCGGGGTGAGGGGCACCCAGGACTGGGCTATAGGATCCAGGCCAGAGCTTTAAGCACTGCAGCCTGGCAACCCCAGGGATGCCCCTTTGGAGAAACACGTCTTCTGCCCACCCCCAACCCCACAAATCCCTTTTGCGTGGTGGGTGGTACGTACAGAACTGCATGAGCTGTTGGGAGTATTCCCCCCCCCTCTGAGAAAAGTGCTTGTCCCTCACCCCCCCTTTCCGGAGGGCAGGCCCTTCAGAGACAAAAGAGGGCTGCTCTTGCAGTCTGCGTGGGCTTTGTCTGGAATACCTGCGGGTGCAATTTTAGCCCACTCGGCCTCGGAGGTTCTTTGTCGGCCCCTAGGAAGGGCTTGGAGGACCCTGGAGAGCTCCTGCCCTTTCAGAGGGGGCTCAGCTGGGATCCCACAAGGCCAGATGTGCACAGCTGGCCCTTTATATGGCAGAGGTCTTGGTCGCCTGAGGAAACGGCTTTGCCTCTGCAGAATTCTCCTCTCTCTAGAGCAGGGCTCTCCAAACTTGGCCCTTTTATGACTTGTGGACTTCAACTCCCAGAATCCCCCAGCCAGTTCTAGGCTGCTGGGGGAGACTGCTTGGCCCCCAGCTCAAGAGGAAAGCGAACCTTTATTCCATTTGAATGAACTCATTTCTGGGGAGCAGAGAGGAAGCAATTAAAAGCACCCCTGTATTCCAGAAGTTACTGGGGCAAAATAAATCTAAATAAAAATACTCGGAGGTATCTAACCTAGATCAGAAATGCTGTAAGAATTCTTTTGCAGGGAAACTGGATTTGCAGGAACGGAGATGGAACTCACCCACCACTAACGCCTGACTCGCCCACTCACGGCAGCTGAAAGTGGTGACGCGTTTCAGGGCCCCCTGAACAGAAATAATAACTGCCCGGTTTCTTACGACAATCTCTAATTTCTGTTTAGCAGCGCTCAGCCTCGCAGCCCCCCTGCCAGCCCGGGGCTACACCTCACCCTCCCTCCAGCGCCCCGAGCTACCGTGGGCGGCCCGGGGGTGCCTCATGGCTCTGGACGCTGTCAGCTGCCTCTCCCCTCAGCTCCGCCTTTCCCCCCAAGACGCCGAGCGGCCACTGTACGGTAAGTGGGGAGAGGGGGTTCCTCCTTGCTGGTCCCTGGACTCCGGGGCAGGCAGTCCCCGGGGATCTCTAAGGAGAGGCAGCCGGCCAAGGTGGAGGGCCGAGCTGCTCAATGCAATGGGAGAACAGGGGCGCTCCCAGTGCAAGGGCCTTCCTGGGGGGGGGCTTGCTGTGCTGCAGGATGCCAGGCTGCACCCTTGATTCTGCTGCAGGGCGTGGGGCATCTTTCAGAAAGCAGGGTTTCACCTGTGCCACCGCAAGGGTGTGTCACGGGCAGCCTGTGTGTTGTGTGTAAGAAGGAGGCTAACAGTTCCACCTAGAACAAAGGCGCCCCTCGCAGCCAGGGTGAGTCAGAGAGGAAGCTTCTCCAAGGCCTGCATCATCTCAAAGCACAGGAGACGTGTTTTGTGTTGCAAAACTATTAAGTGTGTCGGACGCGAGTAGGACAGTGTGTTGATGGAGCAAACAAGTTCCACCGATGGATCCCAGACTCTGCACGGTTCTCCTTCCCTGCCAGCGGGGTGAGCAGATGGACGGGGCACTCCTTGCTCCAGCTGGCAAGGATCCCACATCATCGGGACCAACTCACCTGCCTCCACCTGCTGGGCCGGCTCAGCAGCTGGTGGGATGGCGGGCACCGTCCCACCCAAGTCAGCCGGAGGCCTCTGCAGAGAGTGGAGGCGGCCTCACCCGTCAGGTTAGCCGGGGACAAGAGCAGGATGCGCGCACCGGGCCAAAGGAATCCAAGGGAGGCACCGGTCGCGTGAGGCTGAGTTGGCAGATGCCCAAGGCTGAGCCGGCTGTGCCTGCGCGCGACCCGGGCACTGCCTCCGAGAGCATCATCCACAGCCAGAGTGGCCAAGGACACGGCGAGGGGGAGGTGCAGGCCAGCCCCAGACGATGCCCCTGGCAACATCGGAAACATTCCCGAACCTTTATGCTTCTGCTCTGGGATTGCAAAAGCTCACCTCCATTTCCTCCTTGCGCAGAGAGTGTGCTTGTGTGTGTGTGTGTGCTTGTGTGTGTGTGCCAGGCTGTGTGGACATAGCTAGGCAGAAAGGGCACAAAGCCTGTCCCTTCACGGGGAGGAGGTGAAAATGCTGCCAATCCAGCTTGGCCGAAACCTGGCAGGCTGCTGAGTCAGCATCAGTGGGCAGAGCGGGCTGTGAGCACCAGAATGAAGCTGCCTCCCAC